ATCAACCTGGACATATTTCTCGTTATTGCCGTCGCCGCTGGTCCAACCCACCACGTCAGAGCTACCCTACTTATATACACCCTACCACTTCTGAACGTCCAGCCGCTACACCGTCCAACTTCTACTCGCCGCTTCCTCATGAGCCTCTCCCCACTGACGCCCCTTCTTCCGGTCACCTCTACTCCCGCTCCCCGTCGCCTCCAATCCCGCTCTCCGCCGCCTCGGCGCTTTTACTCGCCGAGCTTCTCTGTGCGATCGCAGCAGGAAAACTATATATTGCAGCTTATGGAGGTGAAGCTGCAATACCAACGACGCCCGGAAACCCTCTACTGACGCTGCTCACACACCCCAGTCTCATTTAAGTAAATGTCGACAATGTTCCTGTTACTGCCTTTGTTGACAATGGCGCCCACCGATCTATTATGAGCGCACATCTACGCCGCCGTTTGCAGAAGATCATGACGCCCTCTACGACTCAAGCCACACGTATTGCCGATGGTGGCGCTGTAGAAGTCGTCGGAATGTGCACGGCTCGTGTTAACATTGCTGGTCGTCACGCCATAGTCCTTTCTGCCGTTCTAGATCGGTGCCCTCATAACCTCATACTAGGCCTTGATTTCCTCTCGGCACACTCGGCTTTAATTGACTGTTCTTCTGGCATGCTCAGCCTCGACCTTCTCCTGCTTTCTGATGCCTGTGAAAAGTCCGTCAGCCGCTTGGGTCCAACCACTTTTGTTCACTTGCCGCCTCGAGCTGTGACATACGTCTGTCTATCATCGACCCTCCACTTCCTGACGGAGACTACATCGTTACACCGACAACAGACGCATGACTTACGCGCAGTGTTACAGTGCCGCATACCATCGCCCCTATAGTGGACAACTGTCTGTTTCTTCCACTACCCAAATTTCGGCCTCATTCCTCAAGCGTTGCCCTACATGATGCCGCTTGCTCAACTCACTGCCGTAAGAGATGATGACATAAACGTTGTCGCTGCAACTGTTCCGGACCAAGCCGAAGTCTCACGATTACCCGGTTCTGCCGAGGCCATCTTTCGAAGTATGATTGGACCAAACCTTTCGCCTGATCAGGCCGACGCTCTCTGCCACGTTTTAGCCTCCTACGGTGACATTTTTGATATGTGTGATCGTCCCTTGAGCCAGACTACTATTGCCAAGCACCAAATCAATACCGGTGAAGGTGCCCCCATCCACCGTCGGCTTTACCGCGTGTCCACATTAGAACGAGCTGTTATTCAGAAGTAAGTGGACAACATGCTACCGAAAGACATCATCAAACCATCGTCAAGCCCTTGGGCCTCCCCAGTGGTCTTGGCAAAGAAGAAAGACGGCTCCTGGAGTTTCTGTATTGATTATTGGCACCTCAACCAAATAACCAAGAAAGAGGTGTATGCTCTTTCACGTATTAACGACGCACTTAACTGTCTTCATGGCGCCACCTTTTTTCCATCTCTCGACCTCCGATCTGGCTATTCGCAAATTGCTGTAGGCGAAATGGATTGTGACAAAACTGCATTCGTTACCCCCGACGGCTTTTACCAATTAAAGGTCATGCCGTTTGGTCTCCAACGCCCCAGCAACCTTCGAGAGAATGATGGAGATGCTGCTTGAAGGATTTAATTGGGCGACGTGCTTGTGTTACTTAGATGACGTGATAATCTTCTCACCCACCTTCGCAACACACCTTGAACGCCTTTCGACCATTCTATCAACATTCCCCAGACAACACTCGATGTCCTGAGGTCGTCCTGATATGGTAAAATTGTCCTCGCACAGCTCACATTGACCTTAGTACTTAATGAGGACGACACAAGCTGGTTTGACCCAGAAACGTCTTTTCGAGTGCTTTTAGAGGACAACAATTTATCCTGAAAAATTACTTTTAAGGACGTTTTGGAGAGGACAAAAGCAACACGTGAGCGCCGGTTCAAACGTTTTTTCGAGTGCTCTCTGAGGACAACAATTGGTCTGGAAAAGGTTCTGTCAAGGACCTTTTCGGGATGACAGAACATTGTACTAAGCACTTAGATATAATTCCTCAAGACCCCTGCGTGCCATTTCATATGACGCATTTCATATGTGAAAACTTTCGTCACACGTTCATTTCATACAGTCATAAAGTTATTGTATATTTTCGCCTCGTTTGTTTCTTTTTTGGCAGAAAATTTTCAAAATATGCATTTCGCTTAATGAGACACGCGTAAATAATTGGCTTAGGTATCGAACCTGGTATTGCGAAATGTCAATTTGAAACAGTGTGTTCACAAATGTCACCGCCTTAAATTAGTCATTAAACGCCACTGTAGCGCGTAATAACAAACTAGCAGCTGGCAACCATTGACTATGCAGCACCATTTTAGATAGTCGAGTAGCCAAGCCATTCCAAGCCAACTGACTGTCAAAATGGCAGCTGGTGGCCCTGTCAGGGAAGGTGGAGTGTACTAGTGGAAGTTCGTGGCCTTTGTTATTTGTGTGGATGGTTAAAAGTGAGATATGTGTGTGTCGTAGGTGATGACGCCTGGTAAATTGTCCGTGTTGATGGGTGCACTGGGCTGCACAACGTTCAGACTGATCATGGATGCATTGTCACCAGCCGACCGCGGCGAGGTGTGGTTCGAAGCAGCCTGGAACACCAGATATCAATTGTGCTTCTAAACAGCATGGTCCCAACGTGGAAGGATCTACTTCTGCATCTGACACATAGCCTGACCTCGAGCTAGTCAAGTCAACGCCCGTTTCGAGTGTATTGATAGGCTGTCAGAGCGGAGCCTCTAACACTAATGAGTGCATTGGGCGCGATACACGTGGTGATGAAGACATTGTGTCAAACTTTCGAGGAAGATAACAAACTGTACTTGATTGACCTGTGTTGACTGCCTTGATACTGCTTTTCTTTTTTCAGACTATACGCGTACTCGAATGCCTGACAATACTGTCAGTCGTGATTAATTACTGTTAAATAAATTTCAGTCAACAAGTTTTGTTTGTTTTGTCACCTGTCTATTGACTAATACAGTATATATACACGAGACCTCGCAGGTGCTTTTCTTTTGATGTATGGAAATATCATGAAAAGAAGTAAATCCTAAGTAGTATCACTGCCCACAGTACCGAACCGTCCACACTATTGTTGTTCTGAAAAGATACTGAAAAAGTCCTGAAGTGTTGTATTGAGGATGTGCTGAGGTTGTTATGTGTACGGACAAGGAGACGTGATTAGTGCCATTCTAGTACCATAAGAGGACATTCTGAGGGCGTCATATTGTCCTCACGAACGCATACTGAGGACGTCCTGAGGTTGTGTTTGTGTTGTCTGGGTCCGACATGCCGGCCTCCAGCTGAAATATTTGAAGTGCCACTTCGGTCTTCGTCAAATCACTGTGTTGGGCCACCTTCTTGACTGCTTCCGGTCTACGACCAGACCCGGCAAAAGTACGCGCAGTAACAAACTTTCCCATTCCGCGCTCTATCCATGGTGTTCCGCGATTTCGTGGGCCTATGCTCTTACTTCCGCCGGTTCGTAAAAGACTTTGCAGCACTCGCACGCCACTCACAATCCTTCTCAAACACGACATCCTGTTTTGTTCTGGACCTCTACAAGCTAACGCTTTCTCTCGACTAATCACCTGCTCTAACGACACCACCGATACTTGTACATTTCGACCCAGATGCTCCTACAGAAGTGTGGACAGATGCTAACGGTCACGGCATCGGCGCAGTCTTGGTCCAAACTCAGCGAGGCACTGGTCGTGTAATTGCATACGCAAGTCGTCTCCTTTCAAAGTCAGAGCGTAACTACTATATAACAGAACGAGAATGCCTTGCCCTTGTCTGGGCTGTTTCGAAATTTCGCTCTTGTATGGCCGCCCGTTCGTTGTCGTCACAGATCATCACGCCCTCTGTTGGCTTTCTTCACTGGGGGATACTTCTGGACTAATTGGTCGTAGGGCGTTGCGTCTTCAGGAGTACTCCTACTCAGTTGCCTACAAGTCTGGACGCCTCCATCTGGACGCCGATTGCTTGTACAGCTACCCATTTGACCAACCAGATGAATTGGTCGGCGATCCTGGCCCCAGCGTCGTGTCCATGTCTAGGTTTCGTCAGATTGGTGACGAACAGCGTCGCGATCCTTTCTTGCGGTCACTCATTGCCTGTCTATAATCTCACCCTAACGACGTGTCACTCCGCATGTTCATTCTCCTAAATGGCACGCTGTACCCTCGTAGCGTCCAGCCAGATGGCCCTGAGGTACTTCTAGACGTGCCTAACCATCTACGTTCAGCGGTCCTTCATGAGCTTCACCACGAACCAACTGCTGGCCACATGGGCCTATTTCGCACGTACGACCGCGTCCGGCGCCGCTTCTTTTGGCATGGTCTCGCGCGGTCTGTTCGACGCTACGTGGCCTCCTGTGATAAATTCTAACGCCGAAAAAGACCTGCCGCAATCCCTGCTGGACTTCTTCACCCGATTTCCGTCCCTACCGAACCTTTCTTTCTTGATGGTGTAGACCTCATCGGACCGTCCCCTGAATCAAACTCTGGGAACAAGTGGGTCACCGTTGCTATAGATCATGCGTTATTAGCAGTGCGACCAGCACTGCTAATGGCTATAGACGCATGGATATAGACCATATGATAGCACTGCTTCTGATGCATGGCTATAGACCATACGTCAGTAGCAGTGCGACCAGCAATGCTACTGACGTTGCCGACTTTTTGCTCCACGATATAATTCTACATCGTGGTGCTCCTCGGCAATTGCTCACGGATCGTGGACGCACATTTTTGTCACGCATACTCGACGACCTTTTGCGCTCTTCCTCAACGCAACACAAACTGACCCCTTGCTACCATCCTCAAACAAATGGCCTTACCGAATGCCTAAATCGCACCCTCACGAACATGCTCTCGATATATGTCTCATCTGACCACCATGACGGGTATCTAGCGCTACCTCACGTGACGTTCGCCTATAATTCATCTCGTCATGATACAGCAGGTTATTCACCTTTTTATATGCTCTCTGGCCGTAACCCAACCTTACCACTGGACACCCTACTACCGACTACTACACCTCCGCCGAGCTAATACATACGTGATGCTATCGCTCGTGCCGACCACGCACGTCAGATTGCCCGCTCTAGGCTGTTGGCTTCACAAGCAACCCAGAAGGCTCTCTACGACAGCAAGCATGCCGACGTTGACTTCCAGATGGTTCTCTAGTTCTTTTCTGGTGCCCAATTCGTCGTGTTGGATTGTCAGAGAAGTTGCTATCTCCGTACAAAAGACCTTACCGTATCTTACAATGGGTAACGGACATTACCTACGAGGTCATTCCAGTCTCCGGGACTAACATGTCTGCAAACACCCCCAGTGACGTCCACGTCAGTGGGTTGAAACCATACCGCCCTCCTCCTGAAGAACACATATAAAGTGCACCGAGTCGGTGCTTTTACTACCGGGGGGTAATGCTACGTAGCTATCGCATGAAGGGTGAACCATTCTGTGATCAGAAGAGGATGAAGAGGGCTGGTTTGCTGCTCTGTGTGCTGCGCTCTGACTGTACCGGTGTGAATACACTGGCAAGTAGTCACGTGCATCTCATATTATGTAGCAATATATATATATATATATATATATATATATATATATATATATATATATATATATATATATATATTACAGGGTATTCCACGTAACTTGAGCCAAGATTTTGAAAGTGAAAGGTGCTTAGGAGGCGAATCGAACAAAACGCTTACTACTCGCACTAGCCTGTAGGTACTGAGGCTATTTTTTATTTCTCCCCATACTAAGTAATTACTAAATTCTAATTAACAAATTTTTAATATGGGCTCGAAACTCAAAACATGAACACTGAGTTAAAGCACTTTCAGAAACCACCGAGTAAACTGTTTCCTGTACGATACGTCTCGTGCTGTAATTTTTTCCACGTTGTGAAGAAAGCCCGTGAAACGTGAAAAGAAGCCGTGTTACGAACCGTGAGCGCACTACTACAGTGCTGATATAAGCCTTCTTTAGTTTATATATATATCGCATCATTCATTGTTTATAGCACTTCACAGCACATGATATGACATTTCAATTGTATTGTAAAATTCGAACAGGTCCACGTAGCGGATACCGTGAAATAGCGAAACCGATGGCTTGTAAAGAAGCCCACTTTTTAGTAAGTTCAATGAAGCAAGATTTGAATGAAGTGGGGCTGAACAAAGCGAGCTGAAATGGACATGAAATTGTAAAAAAGTGGATTGAAATGGAAGGAGTGGGCAAATTAGTACTGGGTGTGGTGGTGATGGTTGAAACTTGCGAGTAATGGCACCTGCCCCTTCCCGGTCTTCGACAGTCATCGGCTATAAAGTCTCGACTAAAACAGCTTCATTATTGAAGATTGGAGATGAAATGAAAGTATTGTGTCGCACTTTCTGGCTAATGGTGAGAGGATTGCACACGGTTTCTAATGTGCCATCAATTTTGGTATGAGCCTTGCCATTTATTCTATTGCGCTAGATGAACTGCTCCGTCAGTTTCTGAAAAGTGTAGTGTGGCAACCCTGCATTGAAAAGTGCAAATATACTCTGTACTGGTATAGGTAGGAGCAACGATTTGCTCATTATGTCATGCAACTTTTGAAACAAGAAGCTTTAAATCATAATATTGCACTCTCTCTGAAGTGCATTCACTAAATATGTTTGCGTGGTCTAGAGATTTAGGAAATATTAAAGTACAAGGTTTGCAGCAGTTACAAAATGCGAAGCATTTCCTAAGTACACTTAACCACCACTGCGTGAGTCATAAACGGCCAGCTGTGTATTTTTTGTAGTGCTTAAAACATGGTGGTCGAAGCTAAGAGTGATAAGTGAGTGTTCGCTCAAGATTTTCTTTAGATTTTTGCTTTCTCACTAAAATCCCCGTGTTTACTTTTCCTCAGGTGACGTTGCGGACAAGGGGCCAGATAGATTCAAAATTGGGGACCGCGTAGCAGTCACCATGGACGTCGAAACCTTCAGGCTTCTTCAGAACGACTACGGCGGCTGGGAAGCTCAAATGTCTCTTGTAAGGTTTTCGCATGAAATGTCGTCAACATTTTTGCAATAAGCTTCGTAGCGTAATTGAAAGGCACGATCCTTTGCTTCTTCAGATATTTGGGAACGTCGGCATCGTCCAGAGAGTGCTGCCCAATGGTGGCATCATGGTTAATTACAAGGTGGCCAATGCCACGTGGCAGCTCAACCCTGTAGCAGTAGAAAAGGTGAGCTTGATTGCAATTGTATTTATTATTATTTGATTTGCGATCACACATACAGATGCACACCGAAGAAATAGGGAGAGAGAAGGTTGGTGACTATCAATCAAAGGGGCACAACGTCTGCGCACTGTTTTTGCGAGGAAGAAAAAGTTAGAGGAAAGGAAGACAGGAGGAGAGAAAAAGGAAAGAATATAAGCAAGTAAGGGCAAAATTAATTTATGTGATGTAAAAGCACTTCACGCGGTTCTTTTGCATTTGCCCGAGACAATTTTAAGACGAAAAGCATTTTGTTTTGATTCTCGGTCAAAAATTTTCCGCACCCATCATGATTTCTCACTACATCCGGAAGCAGCCATAATTGAAGGCATTGGAAACTTCTTGTACCTCCCACAGTTTTTCTGTGCCTTTGAAGTCAGGCCAACTTTTGACCAAGCCTCATGTCACATGGCGACCTAATCCTGTGACGTCACGTAATGTGCCTGCATAGTGGCAACGTGAAGACGTCACAAACTTTGGCAACCTGTCACATCGTGACGGCGACGTCACGCGATTATGACTTTCTTGCGCCACTGTATGTTGATCCCGACGCCGACGAACGCTTCTCGCCTTTGATGAGACATTTGAGGCGTTTGCTTAATAGGCTTATCTGGGTCTAGCGATTTAACCAACGAGGTGAATGGGAACATGGCTTTTGTACTTACACCATAAGCACCACCAAATTTGTCTCTCGTCCCTGTTATTTTTGCTACCTAACAGATTACTGGAGTACTAACTACCTAAACGAGCACTTTGCTAAACGAGGAAACGTATAGTGCGAAACTATAAGAGCAAAAAAGGAGAATCATTGTTATTTGGAGCACGTGAATCAACCTTGAAGATGCTGACGATATGTTTAATGCAATGGCGTTAAAAAGCTCCTTTTCGCAGAAATTCCGCTGTTGGTGTCAGTAGTTGTGAGCAAAAAGTCATCATGTTGTGTGTGACCGAAAAATAGAGAAATATGCAAATAAATGAATAATAAAAAATTCTGAGTCAGAGTAGCGATTGAACCCGGGTCATTAAGGTCTGAGTGACCATCGAACCTAGGTTGTTTGCGTGGCACGTGGACGTTCTACCTCACAGCATGCATCTGCTTGTGAATACAATGAAAATAACTTCATTGGCTTGCAAATGTAGTGAAAGTAACCAACATTTGCTACAAACACACGTGTACTGTATATATGCTTCACAATACAAGAGGGCTGTACCCCGAATTTTTTACTAGTGGGGGGGGGGCGCACCTTTAATATTTCAGGGAAGGCATCTCTCTAAAATGTCCATTTTACGCTCTTCATGCCATGGTAAAAAAAAATTTCGGGGTAACAAGGGGGGAGCACGGGTCTGGTGTGCTATACCCTGGCTACACCCCTGCAATACAACATGAAATATTGCACAATAATGCGTGGTACAAGCGTACAGTGCAATCGAACGTCAGAACATGAGGTTTTCATGATGACTTCGTAGATTAATGCTTGTCACCCGCTACACAAGGCACACATGTTACAGCGCTGATTTTCTTAAGGCCATGTAGAGACTGCATAGCAAGTTGTGCTTGAAGTACACAATAGTCCAACATATAGCTGTGGCGTTCAACTTTTAAAGGTAAAGCTTTAAATGTAAAGCGGCGGTCGCATTTCGGTGAAGGCGAAATGGTTGCGGTGCGAGTACTGTGCAATGCCAGTGCACGGTAAAGAACATTAGATGATAGAAATTTTCTAAGCTTTCCCAAACAGCGTCTCTCATATCGCAGTATTGTTCCACGACTTTAAACCCCAGATATTCATAATTAATTGAAAGACATGCGCCAAAGATGAAGCCTAGCGTCCTATACCAAAAAGGTCCGAAGGATCCGAGTGACTGTTATCGCCTTCGTTGTTGCCAGTTGTCTCCCGTTCTTGCTCACACTCACACAGAACAATCTATATCTGCTCCTTTTTTCCTCAGCTCATCGCCTACAAACCTGGAGATAAAGTGAAAGTCTGCGTGACGCCTGAGGCGATGAAGGAACTGCAAAAGGGTCATGGTGGATACTATGAACACATGAGGCCGGTGAGTACTACACACTCAGCTGCGATGTGATGGCGACATTTGCTGCCTGTAACGATACGCAGAAGCAAACGTACTCTAAAGACTAGATCAGCATGTACCCTTCATTAGGAATATCTTTGCATGGAAGATAAAAATGGGCCCCAATGATCATTTTCTATTTGTGGTGAGACAGCACTATTGTTAACATTAGGCTTGGATTGCTCACAATGAAGTCTTACACAAAAGGGAATCATACAGCCTAATGGCCTTATAAGATTCTTGAACTGATGGCTCTACATACGAAGAACGCATATTATGATGATTTATTCATGCCAGTACATTAGCTTAGCTACTTTGTAACACATGGTACACAAATATAGCAGTGTGGCAGAAATATAGATATGGGAATGGTGGCGGTAATGTGACCAGGCTAGAATAGATGAAGTGAATGAGGGAGTGAGAAAATGAGAAAAGAGAAGCCAGCAATGAATCAAAGGAACGTCATTATATCACACTGCTCATAAGTCTTTGGGCCATCAAGAGTAAGTACCCTCAAGTCTTTGGGCCCTGAGGGTACTAACTAACTAACTAACTAACTAACTAACTAACAAACAAACAAACAAACAAACAAACAAACAAACTAATTAAATAATTAAGTAACTAACCAACTAGCTAACTAACTTACTGACTGGCTGACTAACGAACTAAGTAACTAACTGGCTAATGAACTAAGTAACTAACTAACCAACCAACTAACTGACTAACAAACCAACTAACTAATTGTCTTGGGATGTTAAACCCCAACAATTAAAACTATTAGCTAACTAGATAGCTCACCAAGAAGATAACTATACACTGAAATAATAACGGAGGACCTTTTTGGTATGAAAATGATAAAAATGGCAAGTCCATTGTTAAAAGAAAGTTCTTAAAATAAATAAGGAGGTTAACAACAAAATTATAAAATTGCCAAAACACAGCAGTGAAAAAAAAAGAACACTAAAAACTTCTTAAATCGAGCTTGGTTAGCTTGAGCTTAGAGTTAATTCGAAGTGACGCCCTGGTCGCGGCACAGCCCTCTGTATTTCTACCGATAATTGGAAGGTGTACCGGTATACCGAAAAGGTGATTCCAACTGGCAGACCCTTGGCTTTCATTATGCCTAGCAGAAGTCCCTGTGTGATGTTACTCAACCTAAACCAACCTTAATTTACTTCCGATGCACAACAACAAAAGAGCAGCGTTTATTCGCTGGACTGAAGGTTTTGAGAGCTGTAAACGATTTTCATAAGATTGCGGGAAAGGAAGTGCCAGAAATTGCAAATTTCTGATCACTTTTAAATAGTGATTGCGCAAATTCTGATAATAAAGAAACTCGTTTTGGGGCATAAATAACTACACATATTTTCACATTAAGGCTGCCTGTCGGTGCTTGTGTAGGGCGTATACGTGACTGACCAATCAATTCTGTTCGTTCTCAGGGCTCCACAAACTTAATTGATAAAATCACCAGCCAGAAACGGGTATATTAGTGCCTGATTCGCAATAACAAGTGCAGAGGTGGCTTCTATGGGCTCTGCCAATGCAGTGTGGTGTGATGCCGTTTGTTCTGGCACGCGCCCGGTGATTCAAGCTCCACTTCATTCAAATAATTCTAGTTCAAACTAACAAGCTTTTATTGTATTGCTTCATTTTTGAAATAAAAAATACTGATGATCACTGTATGGCGCATCTAAAACAAAATAAGTATTGAATTACCTGAATGGTAAACGTAAGCGCCCTCACGACAAAATTGGTGCACACGTGCCGTGTAGCATTTACCGACCACTACCCATTTCTTTCTTTTACAGTCAATCGGAAAAGTGGGCATAGTGCTCAGTTCCATGCCTGATTACGACGTGTATGTGCGCGTGTGTAACAGAGTGTGGCTATTTAACCCTCTATGCCTGGAACCTGCTCCCAATTCACCTATAGACAACTCAGGTAATGTTTTATGAAGCAGACATTTCGCCTACAGAAAGAAAGAAAAACTAAATGAGACTGAGCAGCTTCTTTTACACTATTTACTGCTTGTTGACGAATGTTGAGAGGTAGATTTGTTCAGACGAGATTCTCATGTTATTAGGCATTCTTTATTTGTTATTGTAAGATCAGCTCGAGTTAAGTAATGCAATCATAATGTAAAGGAAGCACCCAACGGTGCACATAACATTAGCGAAGCAATGCGTCTATACTGTCACTTGCGAGAGCGTATTGTTGGCCATCACAACCTCTATTACCTATACAGTCTGGCTGGCTGTTGTGATTGGATACAAAAAGAAACAAGGAGCACAAATCTAGCCACTGTATGGGGAATTCAACAAGGTATGCATCGTGGGAAGCATTCATTGTTCCTCAATACTATGCCATCACCTGAAAATGGGTGCCGAATATGCGCAGATTGCGCACGTGCGAGAAGATTAAGGGTATTGTTACCGTTGAGCCATTGTCATCCTGTAAGAGTGCGTGTACACGTGTACAAACCGTTTGTGGAGAACCATGTAGATGCCGGAAAAGTGAAGTGTGTTCGTTCTTGAAGCAGCTAAGCGTAGTTTTGCAAAGATCACACTGCTATTAATCAGGCGTAGCGACAAGGGCAGTGGTCCGTTGGACGGTTTCTGTCAGTAATGTTATATCTGGGCGACTCTTTTCATGCAGTATCTCTCATCATGCCGAAGTGACGAAGCCAAATATACATTCTATTGTGTGCTTTCCAGTTAGCTGCAATAAAAACTCATCAGAGTGTCTGTACTGCGCAGATGCTCTGGTATGATTTGGAGGACCGTCGTACAAATATGTTTTGAGAGATTGTTAAGTCGAACACCTTTAATGTCTCATTATCACCTCCATCCGTCCAGGCCCTGAAACGGTACCAGCTGTGGCCTGTTCTCATCACACTCTCTCTATAATCACGTGATGGCACAGCTGTGTATAACAACAGATGCGCTGCCACAGTTGTGGCCTCTTCCCTGTACATTCTCCTCTATCACGTGATTGCTGAGAGACCGAGTAAAAAAGAAAAAAGAAAAAAAGGAAGGCAGATATACGATGTGAATGCTGATGATGGGGCGAAGCCTCTGTGCATCGTTTCATGAACCATTTCATTGATGATATACACCCTTTTTGTTTGGTTATCGTTAACCTATCAATCGATAATATGTTTTGATTATTGGATGGGTAAATGCCGGTATTTTCTCGTTGTTGTGGCATGTTGTTTTGTTTGTTCTAGTTAAGAGCCTTTTGCTGTGTTTAGAATAAAATGTGAGCGCTTTAGAGCTCTATACCTAGTCAAACTGCGGGAGAGCCATAAGCTGTCCCAGTGACATTCTGGAAAGGTCTATTAAGAATGAGTGGGTCTCCCTTAGCAGAGTACTCGGTACTCTGCTATGGGAGAGCACAAAGCCTTCCGTGAGCCTCAAACTTGATGAGGCCGTCTTGAGAAACATTACGCCGTGAACTAGCTCACGACTGACCACCAGGCACACAGATACAAGCTGTGTGTTTAGAGAAGGTGTTTAATGATTTAGAGTACTTGGTACTCTCCTATGGAGGAGCATATTTATGCCACCGCGAAGAATCAGCGAGCTGCCCGGCAGTAAGCAATAACTGTGTTTAGAAAAGGTTTTCAACGATTTAGAGTACTTGGTACTCTACTATGGGAGAGCAAGAAGTCATTCCGTGCCCGTGTTAATAAAAAGTGGTTAACGATTTAGAGTACTTGGTTCTCTACTATGGAAGAGCTGAAAGCCGTTCTGTAGACTTCTAGAGCTGTTTAGAACGTTGTTTAGAAAAAATTATTGTCACAAACGTCAATAACATTCGACAGAACTTTGTTCCGGAGTACCTGAAGTGAAAGTGTGTTCAGAACAAGTAGTTTACAATTTAGAGTACTTCGTACTCTACTATGGGAGAGCATAAAGCCGTCCCGCTGCTGAACGAGAGTGAACAAGCTCTAGCACTACAGACAAAGTAAAAGTGTGCTTAGAAAAAAATTGACAGATCCCACGTACAATGGGAATCGATGATATGCGAAGCACGAATGAGAAATGTTGAAATGTCACATCAAAATCAGCACAACGTTACGAGGTAGAGGTAAATGATGCCGTACTTGACTTCCGTCTCATAACTATCATGTTTGGATGTGTCGTTTACCTTCGTCCTATATTCACGTCACGTGATACTAAATTTAGTATATGTGGAGCTAGCGAAACAGAAGCGAGCATGCTATGAGCGTGGTATGTTGTCATGTTTTTACATGACATGCGTGCCAGGATTATAATGTTTGCACCAGTCATATATTTCGTCATTTATCGACGTCACGTAACACAGAATTTGGTATATGTGGAGCTAGCAAAATGGCCGTGAGTGCATTATGAAGGGCCCAATATACTTTAACGTAGCGTTGACGCACGCGCGTGCTGGGCAGAGTGACGCTTCGTTAGCAAAACGCGGCACTCTATAGTCTGACGCCAGGCGTGAGCAGCTTCTGTCGGCGCGGCCCGACGGCAACCGGCGTGAAATGGGACATGCTGCATTTCATGCCGATGCGTTACCCAGACAACGCTGTCTCTCCTTCTTTTTGTGACGGAGGGACGCCGAACGCGCAGCGTGGCGCACGCCTTCGAGTATGAGTCCTGCAAAGTACGAGTCCTCAACCTCACTCTTTAAAAGAAAAAAAAATCGAGTTTTCGGCTCACTAAGTATTACGGCTTCGTGGCGTTAGCCACCGCCCAATCTAAAGGATACAGCCATATCAATCCATCCATCCATTCATCCTTGGCAGGACCGCGCCTGGCGTGGCAATGCCAGCGTGACCCGACGAAACGAATGCCGGCGAGCACGCGCACCGCGTCACGTTGAAATGTATTGGCACCTTCACCATGGCATGTAGCCATGTTCTCACATGACAAGCATCTCATTATTATCATGTTTGCACCAGTCACATACCTTCGTCATCCATTGGCGTCCGGTAATACCAAAACTGGCATATGTGAAGCTAGTGAAACAGCCGTGAGCGCATCATCAGTGTGGCATGCAGTCATGTTGTTACATGACACGCATGTCATGATTATCATGTTTGGATTTGTCATTTACTTATGTCGCCCATTAGCGTCGCGTAATACCGAGTTTGTTACATGTGCAGCTAGCAAAACGGCCGCAAGCGCATAATGAGCGTAGCATGTAGTCATGTTGTTACATGACGTGCATCTCATGTTGATCATGTTTGCACCAGTAGCATACCTTCGTCATCCATTCGCGTCCCGTAATACCAGGAGGAGGAAGCGACAAAAGAGAGAAGGAAGGGAGGTTAACCAGAAAGACATCTAGTTGGCTACCCTACACTGGGGGATTAGGGAAGGGGGCAAGAAAGACGAGAAAGAGGGAAGAGAGGGAAAAGAAAAAATAGGTGGGGGAGAGACTGACAGTAATTTCACTGCAGTGTGTAGAACTCTACCACATGCCAGAGGCATTCACACAAGCCTGTCTTTCTCAAGAAACACAGCAGGGCTTTCACTGCCTTGTGGGCTGTCGATGCATGTTGACGTTGCTGTAGTACCACCTGCAAAGAAATAGGCCGATCATCCAGTCGCCGCATTGCGTTGGCAAGTACTTGTCTATCTGAGGCAAAACGAGGACAATGGCACAAAAGGTGTTCGATATTTTCGTCGGTGCCGCAAACATCGCACGCTGCACTGTCAGTAATTCCAATTAACGTGGTCCCGTAATACCAAGTCCGTGATACCAAGTTTAGTATAAGTGAAGGTAGCGAAACAGCCGGGAGCGCATCATGAGCGTGGCATGTGGTCATGTTGTTACATGGCACGCATGTCATAATTTTATGTTAGGGTCTCTCGCTTGTGTTCGCCATGCAATCATGGCATACCATACTAGTTTTGCAACATGCCATGTGAAGAAAACCACCACAAGAGCTGCAGGACCATGAAATGTAAATCATGACGTTCATGACAAGCGTGTCACGATTTTCATGTCATGACAAATCAGATATGTTCTTCATACAGTCATGTTACGTCATACCAAATTTGGTATTGATGCCTTTATCGAAACGGCCAGGAGAGCTACAAGTCGTAGACGGATAGATAGATAGATAGATAGGTAGATAGATAGATAGATAGATAGATAGATAGATAGATAGATAGATACGCTAAAGTTGCCGAAAATCGCTAAGAAATGTTTCGCATTTAAAAGGCGCATTTGTAAATCCCACAGAACGTACAGCTAATAGCGTGCCCGGTACATGCTGTAGTGGACCGAGATGTCATGCGTTAGACTCCCCATAACAACACTTTTTTTCTTTGTTCTCTAAACATGTGCAGTTGTTTACGATGTTTTCCAGACGGAAATACGTCACTCATGTCTTGGTGCACTCCGGCATATAAAACACTTTCGCGTTAGAAGAACAACTTGTGCAAGAAGTTGAATGACCCAACTTTGTTAGTTATCAAAAAAAAAAAATGGCAGCATATTTAAGGAGTGAATGATGAAGGTGGGGCGAAGCATCCGTCCGTCCATTCGTTCTTGCTTCCATCCGTCCATGCGTCCGTGTGTGTGACCATCCATGCGTCTTTTCACCCGTCCGTGCATGCGTCTCTTCGTGCGTCCGCAGTTCCATCTGTGCGTCCGTCCCTGCGTTCGTCCATGCATCCGCCCCTGCGTCCATCCATGCGTCCATCCATCGGTGAAGCCATCCGCGAGTCCATCCATGCATCTGTATGTGTGTGCGTTCGTACATCTATTCACCACTCGAAGTACCTCCATCTGACAAGAAAGGGTTGCTACGTTATACTCGCTGGCTGTAACCTCCTTAGTTTTTTAAAGGTTTAGCGAGCGTTGAGCAGCAATGCCATGAATACAATGAACTAGTATATACCATGAACTTGAGGCGGTTAAAGGTGGGAAGCAGATACGAAGCGCAAGCCGTAAGA